GTAGAACCCGCAGGAAGTAGGGGTTCCATCGGGCGACCGTGACGCTGGGACAGGAGAGCCCCTACTCCCGTCTCGGAAGCATCAACTTCGAGGACGAATGGCTAACCCCAGGATTGGGATGCGAAAGAATCGGAGCCGAAGCAAAGGCAGCTTTCAGAGCCTCGAAAGCTCTGATGTCCCTCGGATTGGCCACCTCGTGAGGGTTACTCCCCTTCTTGCAGTTAGGTCAGAGAGAGGCTTTGCCAATTGTGGAGAAGTTCCTGATGAACTTCCGATAGTAGTTGGCAAAACCCAGGAAAACTGTGAATGGGCCGAAGACCATTGGGACGAGGCCCACTGCAGAACTGCCGCAACCTTCTGAGGTCCATTGGAAAATCCCTCCGCGGGAATTATGTAGCCCAAAAAAGGCAACCTGGGATCGAATGGAACTCGCACTTCTCGAGTTTACAAAAAGAGTCCGTTCTCAACGCAATCGTTGCAGCAACCTGCTTAACATCCTGGACATGGGACTCCATGGAGGTAGAGTAAACCAAGATGTGACATCCAGGTAAACCACTACGCATTGCTGCAACAAATCACGAAGGACATCGTTTATGAATTCCTGAAAGACCGCGACGGGCGCGTTTAACACAATCCGAAGGAATCACCAGGTATTTGTAGTGCCCAGTTCTAGTGTTTAAACGCGGTCTTCCACTCATCCCCCTGTCTGATCCGTACGAGGTTGTACGCCGCCCTAATGGTCGAGTTTGGTAAAGACCGTTGTGCTCCCTTAAGGCGGTCGAATAACTCAGAAATCAAAGGAATTGGATATGCATTTTTAATGGTAATCCGATTGAGACCCTATAATCGATGCAGGGCCTCAATTCCCCCACTTTCTTCTTTACGAAAAAAACCAACCGCTCTTCCTGCTGGGGAAGTGACTTACGAATGTGCCCCCGGGAAAGCGCATCCACCACGTACTCCTCCATGGCCTTATGCTCCCGCAACCGAGAGAGGGTACACCCTGCCACGTGGAGGAGTGGCCCCGGGTTGCAGGGATATGGCGCAGTCGTAAGGACGATGCGGTGGTAAGGTACCAGCGCGTTACCTTATCGAACACGTCCCCGGTATTCCCCATAGTCGGTGGGCAACGCAGAGTCCCCGAGGAGGCCACACAATACCTTAACCGGCCCCCGGATGCACCCGGCCCCACACTGTGGAGACCATGAGAGAATCTCGGCTGTTTGTCCAATTGAAGGTTGGATTGTGCCTCTGGAGCCAGGGGATACCCCAAAACCACCGAATAGTTGTGTGGGGAAGAAATCACCTGAAAACAGGCCAACTCCCTTGTGACACAGCCCCAATGGCTACCTCTATTGGCAGGTTGTCTTCGTGGGTAACCTGCGGCGGCTGCAGGGCCTGCCAATCTATTGCTTCGAGAACCAATGGGGCAGCACTGAGCCTGCAGGGGAATGGAGTGCTGCGCAGCAAACGAGCTGTCCAAGAACAACCCACCGGCCCCTGAGAGTCTACCAACGCCTGGGACCGTCACCGTGAGCCCCCTGTCCAAGAAAGGACCACGGTGATCATGGCTTATCCTTGCGGAACGCCTGGGACGAGGAAACTCCACCCAAGATCTGTCCCCGACATGAATCTCAGGTGCGAGTAGCCGTTTCCCGGACGGACCGGACAAGGACTGCCGAAAGGGCCCACCGAGGCCAGCCACAGTTACAGGCAGCCCCCTCCCGACGCCGAGCGCAACCCGCTCCCCCTCGGAAAGGCGAGCAAACCCCAGCTGCATGGGTTCCCCACCAGACTCAAGCCATCCCCAGGAGGCGTGGAGGAGTAGAGGGAGGAACGGGTGGGACAGAAAACACAGGGCCATCGATTGGAAGGCTCCGCAGGCGTTCCTTGAGTGAAGGCCTCTCCCTGAGCCTGGTGACATCAGGATCAGGGAAAGAGATGAGCTCCTCTCCAACACCACAGGCAGTTTCCCTTAGCTGCAATCTCGTCCTTCAAAATGAGTCCAGAAAGACCATGGGGAAAACGCAAGCCACTCAGAGCCTCATTGTTCCAACCGACCTCTGCCGCCAGGGTACGAAACTCTATAGCGTAACTCGGCCACGGTCCGTGAACACCTGATGCATGGTCATGAGCAGCTTGGCCGCCGAGGCGGAACGAGCCCGGTACGTCGAATGCCGAATACCCTACGGAAGGCATCGACAAAACCAGAAAAATCTTGAATCACCGCAGGAACCGGTCGTTCCTTTCCCATAAGGGATTTGCCCAGGCCAAGGCCTTGTCTGAGAGTAGTGAGATGAGGAACCCCACCTTTGACCTACCTCAGACGGAAAGGCGTGGGGTATTAATTCAAATAAATACCCACCTGGTTGAGGAACCCCACGACACTGACTCGGCTCACCCCAAAGCGCTGTGGAAGAGGGGCTGAACCGGTCACCTGGACTCTGGACCCGGCGGGTGCCGCATCAGCCGCGGGCGTGACCAGGCACAGCAAGCGGAACGGCATCGGAAGCGACCACCGAGCGACAACCGGACCTAATAACACACAGGAGTAAGGTGCGCGCGGTGCGTGCAAGCAGAGTTTGCAACGCCTGAGCGAAACTGATCCAACAGGTGATCCTGTTGATCGAGTCTGGCGACTAGCATTGGGATGCGAAGGCTGCCTGCACCGTCAGGGTTCATTTGGCACTTGTGTAATGTCAGGGCAGAGCTGAGCTGAGAACAGGACAGCATGTCGGCCTGACAATGGTAACGCACTGGGCTGACGACAAAACCACCACCCACAGACCAAAGTCCCTCAGGGCGCGAGGTCAAGCATCTAAGTCCCAGGTTTGCCTTCACCAGGGCCCCTGATGGTGGGGATGAGGACTTGACGCAGCCAGGAACCAGGTCGCAAGGGCCCCCGAGAACACCTCAGCTGCGGTAAATGGTCCGCCGCCAATGGCGTGTGTAGCTGTGTGGAAGAGACAAAAGTTTAGTCAGACAAGCCGGGGTCAACAACAACAGGACAGAACAGTACAGGACAGCAGACGAGAATCACAGGTCACGAGCCGGGTTCAGCAACAGAGGGTCAGATCAAAGGAGAATACAAAAGAATAGTCAAGACAAGCCGAATCAGATACCAGGAAGAGTCACGAGAGTCAGAACAGAGTAACAGCAACACAAAGACACAAGACACAAGTGCAAAGAGCATGTGCGGGCCACAGGCTTATATGTCATCAGCCACACCCCTCTGGAGGATGGGCCACAGAAACCTGAAGGCATATAAAAGGGCTCCCATCATGCACAGCAGAATCCAAGATGGACACCAGCACATGAAGTAACATAACCACAGGAAAAAGGTAGGACCTTGACAATAACATCCTATTAATGTTCTTTGATACAGCCCTTTAGGAACATCCAACTTCTTTTGCAATTACCTTTTGAGGCTTTCCCTCCTTATGGAGGGTGTCAATGATGGTTTTCTGAACAACTGTCAGGTCAGCAGTCTATCCCATGATTGTGATTCCTACTGAACCAGACTGAGAAACCATGTAAAGGCTCAGGAACCCTTTGCAGGTGTTATGGCTTAATTAGCTGATTAAAGGGGGACACTTTGAGCCGAGAATATTGCATCACTTCACAGTTTTCTAATTTTCTGAGATTGTGGATTTGGGGTTTTCATGAGCTGTAAGCCATAATAATCACAATTATGACAAATCACTGCTTGAACTATCTTGCTTTGGATGTAATGAGTCTATCTCATATATTAGTTTCACCTTTTAAGTTGCATTACTGAAATAAATAAACTTTTGCACAATATTCTAATTTTTTCGAGTTTCACCTGTATATCTATGTATGTTTTCACACTGAGGCGTTGTGCTTGCAGTGCGGTGTAAAAACTACTGCTTGCAGCATCTTTAGGGAGTTAAAAAAACAAAAATGCCGCTTCCCATTGAAATAAGTGGAAAACGCCCGAGAAGCATTTTTGGTGCAGTTTTCAAGTCGCATGTGCATTAAAAAATGCTCACAAAGCATGCCAAAAGCGTGGGAAAAATGCATGTGTGTTTTTGTGGCAGATCAGTGTGAAAGTAGCCTTAAAGACCCTGCAAGTAAAAAAAGAATATTTGTGGATATGCCAGAGGTAAACTCAGCTCCTAATCTTGTCTTGTTGGCAGATACCACACAAAATTTTTTGGGGGACTGTCAGCAAAATGCAAGTTCTGGAGAACAATTCCCATATAGAATATACACTATATTGCCAAGTATCGGGATTCCTGCCTTTACACGCACATGAACTTTAATGGCCCCCCACTCTTCGTCCGTAGGGTTCAATATTGAGTTGGCCCACCCTTTGCAGCTATAACAGCTTCAACTCTTCTGGGAAGGCTGTCCACAAGGTTTAGGAGGGTGTCTATGGGAAGGTTTGACCATTCTTCCAGAAGCACATTTGTGAGGTCAGGCACTGATGTTGGATGAGAAGGCCTGGCTTGCAGTCTCTGCTCTCATTCATCCCAAAGGTGTTCTATCGGGTTGAGGTCAGGACTCTGTGCAGGCCAGTCAAGTTCCTCCTCCCCAAACTCACTCATCCATGTCTTTATGGACCTTGCTTTGTGCACTGGTGCACAGTCATGTTGGAACAGGAAGGGGCCATCCCCAAACTGTTCCCACAAAGTTGGGAGCATGAAATTGTCCAAAATGTCTTGGTATGCTGACGCCTTAAGACTTCCCTTCACTGGAACTAAGGGGCCAAGCCAAACCCCTGAAAAACAACCCCCACACCATAATCCCCCCCCTCCACCAAACTTTACACATGGCACAATGCAGTCAGGCAAGTACCGATCTTCTGGCAACCACCAATCCCAAACACGTCTATCCAATTGCCAGACAGAGAAGTGTGATTGGTCACTCCAGAGAACACGTCTCCCCTGCGCTAGAGTCCAGTGCCGGCGTGCTTTACACCACTGCATCCAACGCTTTGCATTGCACTTGGTGATGTAAGGCTTGGATGCGGCTGCTCGGCCATGGAAACCCATTCCATGAAGCTCTCTAAGCACTGTTGCTGTGCTAATATGATTTCCACATGAAGTTTGGAGGTCTTTAGCTATTGACTCTGCAGACAGTTGGCGACCTCTGCACACTGTGTTCTTCAGCAGGCACTGACCCTACTCTGTCATTTTACGTGGCCTACCACTTGGTGGCTGATTTGCTGTTGTTCCCAGTTGCTTCCACTTCGTTATAATACCACTAACAGTTGACTGTGGAATATTTAGTAGCAAGATTTCACAGATGGACTTATTGCACAGGTGGCAACCTATCATTGTACCACACTTGAATTCACTGAGCTCCTGCGAGCGACCCATTCTTTCACAAATGTTTGTAGAAGCAGTCTGCATGCCTAGGTGCTTGATTGTATATACCTGTGACCATGGAGGTGATTGGAACACCTGAACCCAATGATTTGGAGGGCGGGGATAATACGTTTGGCAATAGAGTATATATGTAAAAAAGAAGAAGAAAAAAAAAAAAAAAAAAACACAATCAAGTGAAGACTACATTTTTTTGATGGCTGCAAATAGTAAAATCAGCAATCACATGTATTTTTTTTTTCTCAGGCTTTTAAAAATGTGGATATAGGATCAGGGTGTAAATTTTGAAATCTATAAAACTTGCAAAAGTCAGATCCACATTAAAAAGAATATATATATATATATATTCAGTGGATGTAGACTGTATAAACAAATGCTTTATTACTCTGATGCCTTGTCTCTACTGGATGTGTGAAATGGGATTTAGTGATATTTGTAATGTTGCTGCCCTCTAGTGGATGATGAGCGCACAGCGTCTGCCTCTAGCCAAGAAGTACAGAATATCTTTCCTTGCTCCAGTCTGTGACCAATAATACAGGTGTGGTACACTGTATATGTGCATCAGGAGTCCTGCACAGCAATTGTTATACCAAAAATCCTTGTGATAAGCCCATAGAACAAGCTGCTGCTACAAATACTTGTACTTACCAGTACCTCCAAAGAGCAGGGCCCTCCTAACCCTCTTGTATTGAACTGTATTGTCTCCCGTAATATTGTAAAGCACTGAGCAAACTGTTGGTGCTGTATAAATACCTGGAGTCCAGCACTGACTTCCCACAACCCGATCTTCTTACTGCTGTGGGGCCCAGACGCTGCCATTTTGAATAACAGCCAGCTGTGGCTTCCGGACGAACCACAGCCCGTTCCCCCCTCCAAAAAAGCCTGAAACATAGGGGAGGGAGCAAACTACCCTTTTTGGAGTGAAGTTCCACTTGATATCCTGTGGTCAGTAAAGTGAAACTTTAACAGCCACTCTATCACTTCTGCAGGTGGTGGAAGTGAATAAAAAATAAATAAATACAGAGGCAGTGTATAAAAGTTTTAGATAAAATAAATTTAAAGAGAGCCTCCCCCCTTATGCGCAAATGCGAACACATATGTAAACGGCGCTCACACCACACCTGTGAATTATTGTCGCAAACAGAGCAAAAGCAATAATTCCAGTACCACTCCTCTAATTGTAAATTTAAAGCATCACCTATGGAGAATTTTAACCCCTTGATGCCGAGCACATGCAAATATGCGGCCTCTTGGGGTCTGGGCCTTGACGCCGCGTGGCCGCATATTTGCGTGCAATTAAAAAATACACGTGCTGAGCGCGCTCCCAGCACACATGTCCGCTACTCCTGGAAAGGTCCTGATCTCCCCTTTTGATCGGGACCTTTTCTGATCATGTGACCACCATGACGGCGAATCATGGTGGTCACATGACCCTAAAACCCCACCCTGCCTCCTGGCTTTTGAAACTCTTAAAGGGCTGGGAGGCGCCGGTGCCAACAGGTTAAGTATCGTAGTTTGGCAAAGAGCCACGGGTATACACAATTTAAAGTATGACATGTTTGTTATCTCTTTACTAGGCATAACATCATCTTTTACATAAAAAATTGGCATATTGCGTTTTCCATTAAAAGGTATTTTTTTTCCAAAAAAAATTGCATTTGAAAAACCACTGCACAAATGGCATGTGACAAATTGAAAAAACCTATCATTTTATTTTCTAGGGCCTCGGTTAAAAAAAAAAAAAAAAAAAAAAAAAAAAAAAATGTATATAATGTTTGGGGGTTCCAAGTAATTTTTCTAGCAAAAAATAAAAAGTTGATTTTTACATGTATGTGAGTGTCAGAACTGGCTCAGTAGTCAAGTGGTTAAACAATATTTGTATTACTTTATTATCTTAATGCCAAAGTTACTGAAAAATAATCAGGGACATAGCAGAATTGCAAAAACTGCTCTGACCCATGCGGGGTGTACAGGTGTTGTGGGTGTCTAACATTTTTAACCCCCCTTACCAGCTGCAAAAAAAGGAACACACATGATCTTAGGCATAGTAATCTGAATCCTCCTGTATTCATTTGTATTGTAATCGTACGGTCTGCCCTTATATTATAAAGCGCTCCGTAAACTGTTGGTGCTATAGCAATCCTGTACAATAAATGTCTGTCCCTCTAGGCATTAAGGCAAAATTTTAGATGACAAATTTAGTGTTTTTGAAAAACACCTTTGCATCAGAATTCACCTATGTGAACTGAGGTTAATCTGAAACCGCACGGATTTGCAAGACATGTGAACTAAAATTTCCAACCAGATACTCTTTAACAATTCACACTAGAATCACACCTGCACCGCAAGAACAAAATCGCACACATAGATGTGGACCTAAGTTAAATGTTATTAAATGACAGTGATCACTGCCTGGAATTTAATGTATCCATCACTTCTAGACGACTAGTAACAACCCCGTCACAGCAAGTATACTAGGCCATGTGGGTGTGTGCAGTGCAATAATGTCCTTACAGGATGTCTTCAACTTCCAAGCCGACCTCAATGCACTGTTTAATTGGGCAACTATGTGGCAAATGAGGTTTAATGTTGATAAATGTAAGGTTCTTCACTTGAGGGCTAAGAATATGCATGCATCATACATACTAGGGGGGTACAACTGGGGGAATCAATGGTGGAGAAGGATCTGGGCGTTCTGGTAGATCACAAGCTTAATAATGGCATGCAATGCCAAGCTGCGGTTTCTAAAACGAGCAAAATCCTCTCTTGTATTAAAAGAGGTATAGACTCCAGAGAGAGATATCATTTCCCCCGGACAAATCATTAGTAAGACCTCATCTGGAATATGCAGTTCAGTTTTGGGTACCAATTCAAAAAGAACATTGGGGAACTGGAGAAAGTTCAGAGAAGGGCAACCAAACTGATAAGAGGCATGGAGGAGATCAGCTATGAGGAAAGATTAGAGGAACTCAATGTATTCTCTGAGGAGATTAAGGGGGGATATGATCAACATGTATAAATACATTGTGGTTCACATAGTGAACGCTGTGTAGAGTTATTCACTCTGAGGTCATCACAGAGGACAAGGGAACACTCCTTACGTCTGGAGAAAAAGAAATTTAATCTCCAAACAGTGAAAGGTTTCTCCACAGTGAGAGCTGTGAAAATGTGGAATAGACTTCAAGAGTTGGTTCTGGCCAGCTCAGTGGATTGCTTTAAAAAAAAAAAAAAAAAGTCCTGGATTCTTTCTTGGATACACAGAATATAACTGGATACTAACATTTATAGATAAAGTTGATCCAGGAAATATCAGATTGTCTCTCGGGGGATCAGGAAATAATTTTTTTCCCCTGCAGGAGCAAGTTGGATCATGCTTTGCTGGGTTTTTTTTTTTGCCTTCCTCTGGATCAACCGTGGGTATAGGATTATAATTTTTTATTTTTTTATTTTTCAATGGTTGAACTGGATAGACTGTGTGCGGTTCATCAGGAGTGTGTACACATGGGTCCCGCTGCATGCTCTTTGGTAATGTTTGCATTGCATATTCACCTAACAGAACCAGTGGACAATAGAGTCGGGGTGATAACCCACTCTGGACGGACTTAGTTCTCATTAAGTAAAAACTCCAAAACACAAAGAATTAGAAAAGAATCCTTTTACTGTAACCGTCTTTTTTTTGCATTAAGGCACTTAAATAACCAGGAAGGGAGGATGGCACATACAGGCTGCCACAGCAACACAGTTTACAGGGGGGAAAAAAAAAAAAAAAAAAGTCATATGTATGTATGGCCCAAAGCAACCAATCAGATTTTCCCAATCTACAGCAAAAAAAATAAATAAGGATTAAAAAGGCATTGTTATGGATAATGCAGATGCTATCGGTGCCTACAATTTTTATAACCAGATCCCTTGGGAAGAATGAATAGTCCAGCAGTACATGACACGCAGACTTACAAACAAGAATGCAAACTTCAAAGATAACCGGGTAGGACAGTCACTTCTGACGTCGGCTGGTGCCTAAAAATATTTTTTGGAGCAGATGTAGTTCTTCTGTACATATTGCTGACAAACAGCTCTCCCCCTTCCCATGATTCCCCCCCCCCCCCCCCCCATTTAAATGTCTTCTGGCTTTCTACTTCAATCTATGGGTTCTGTTCCTGTTACCCAGATGTGTTCAGGAAGAAGAGGGAAAGACTTGACACAATTACTGTAATGGTGACAGTCACTTCTAGGAGGAAGACATGACCATACAGGAAACATCTGCTTCCATATAAGATACAGTGTGTGTAGAAAAGAATCACCCCTCTTTAAAAATCACATGTTGTTGCTTTGCAGACTGAAATGAAGACAGACACAGTATTTGTTTTATCCAGCTGTGTTTACTCAATGCAACGTATAACATCCAAGCGAAGGATAGAACACCAGCATGTCAGAAAAAAATTAAAATTCTAAGCATCCCCTTGTGTCAGTATTTTGTTGAACCACCTTTTGCTTTAATCACAGCCTTAAGGCCTCATTCACACTATACCTGCAGAACAACTGATGGAAACTTTCATTTGCAGACATCAGGTTAATGTGCGCTCCCATGAGTTTTATACACATTGCAGATACCTGCACGTGATGCCAGTGTTGTAGTGTAAACAGGGCACATACAGAACAAGTGATTTTGTTGTGCCCTTGCAGAACACATGCAGAAAACCCAACATCTACATCACGATGTGAACGAGCCCTTAGTCTGTTGGGATAGGTCTCTAAAAACTTTACACAGCTGGACTTTGCAATATTTGCCCGCTCTTCTGTGCAGAACTGCTGAAGTTTAGTTAAATTTTCAACGGTGACCGTTTGTGGATTGCAGTCTTCAAGTCATTCCACAGATTTTCAATGGGGTTTAAGTCTGGGTTCTGACTAGGCCATGCAAGCACATTCACCTATTTCACCTCCAACCACTGTGTGCGCATTTCTGCTGCATGCTTTGGGTCATTGTCATGGTGGAAGGTAAACCTTCTTCCAATTGACAACTTTTCTGGCAGAAGGCAGCAGATTTTCCTCAAGAACTTGATGTTATTTTGCTCCATCCATTTTTCCTTCTATCCTAACAAGTACTCCAGTCCCAGCTGCATAGAAACCCCCCCATATCCAAGATATTACTACCTCCATGCTTTACTATAGGAATGGTGTTATGTGGATGGTGAGCTGTATCGGATTTCTACAAGACATCATTTAGAGTTGAGGCCAAATAATTCAATCTTAGTTTCAGCTGACCAGAACATCTTATTCCATGTGGCCTTAGAATCTGTAAGGTGCATTTTGGAAAAGCTCAGTGGTGACTGCATATGGCCTTTCTTGAGGAGCTTTTTTTTTTTCTTACAACCCTCCCATCCAAGCCACTTGTGTGGAGAATTTGTGAGCGTTGTCACATGCAGACATCATGACCAGTTTCCTCCAGGCTCTTTCATCCAGTCTAGAGTGATGTCCTGATCCAGGGAGGGTGGGTGTTGTACCAAATACCTTCCACTTCCTAATAACAGACTTCACACTGCTTCTAGGCATTGATAAAGTCTGACAGTTTTTGGTATCCAGCTCCTGACTTGTGTCTGTCCACAACTTTATCCAAGAGATCTCTGTTGAGAGTGCCTTGCCCCCCATAATTAATAGTTTGCTTCAGTTGCAAAAAGAGTGAAATGCTCCAGGAAAGCTCTCATCGTACTGAGCTAATTTGACTACAGCTAAAAGTCAAATGACTTTGTAGCATTGAGAATGTGATTGCGTTTATAAGTCATTTTATAGAAGGGGGGGAGGGGATCTTTTTTCCAACTCAGTGATCCAGTTTTTGAATCCGCCCTCAGACTTGTTGGCACTCTCTCTTTTACTTGCATATTTTAAGTTTCGGTGAGTAAATACAGCTGGAAAAAAAACCCTCCAAAAAGGAACAAAATGTTATTTTTAAAAAGGGGGCGATTCTGTTCTATACCTACTTGCATATAACAAGACACTTACCTTCACTTTCCTCATCTATTCAGGAATGTATTCTTCACTCAAAAGGCCTTCTTCAAATTTTTTTTAATTGTACTGTGATCAGACTTCCTGTTAGAGGCTGGCTATATTCATTCTCCATGATCCCGCTGTCTATACAAATGTAGCCCCTCTCTCTGGCGAGGACTATGGAAGGTGTAGCAAACACAGAGCAGTGTACATGACTGCAACTAACATACATTGCTTGTTCCAAACAGAAGTAAGAGAAAAGGAGATGTTTGGGAGCTTACACAGAATGTTACAAGAAGGCAGATAAACACATACTAATTCATGAATAGATTAAAGGTTCTTAAACTAGTGTATCTGTATGGATTATTTTTGGAGAATTATGATAGAGCTTAATGTCACTTTAATCCACTTTACACAACAGCAAATGGCCAAGAGAGAAGCAACTGTAATGGTCGCTGGTGAAAACCTAATCTAAAATCAGTCAGGACCATGAAAAAATACCTGCAATGGGAGTCATGTCTAGGATAGGGCTGATCTCTCCTCCTAGAGTTAGTTGCCCCAACTTTGCTGGGTTTTGTTTTGTCTTCCTCTGGATCAACTGTGGGTATGGAGTTAACTTTTTTTTTTCATTTGTCTTTTTTCAACCAGACTAACTATGTAACAGTCAAGCTGATGCAGTAACTTCAACTCTTAAAGTGGAACTGAAAATTAAGTCCTCCTCAATGCCTTCAGGCTGGCCATTTTTGCAGGTATAGCTATGTAAAAACATTAAAAAGTAGCATTTATATTGTTCAAAATCCAGTAATACACTATCACCCTGCTCTGCGCAGGCTCAGCTGCTCTCTATATTTAGGCACTAACATTTCTAGAGGCCGATCTGTTGCCAGCCTTAAACCCTCCTATCCTTTACAGCTAAGGAAGCTGCTTCTGTTTGACCTGCAACTGCCATGGTGCTGCACATGTGATCAGTTATAACACCAGTCATTTGAGGGTTGGTTGAGGACACAAGCAAAAAATGTTAGTTAGAAATCCTGGCATTCTAGAAACGTAAAGTTTTTTGACACTTAAATCGATGTGTTTCGTTCCACTTTGATTTACTGCTGTTCAGGGGTTCTAGACTTCAGCAAAATGGCAGCCTCCAGCAAGAAGAAACAAGAACAATGCTGGAGGCAATTTACAGCACACACTCATTTTGTAACCAGAATTATAATGTGAAAGGTAGGTTTCTTGCTAAAGAACATTTTTTTTTTTTTTTTTTTAGAAATCAAGCTCTTATAGGTAAAGTTCCACTTTAAGCAGTTTACTTCACTGACTACACAGTTGTTCCAGGGCATACACTAGGAAAATATTGAAAATCCATCTGATATGTCCCATCGTTTCATAGACCTGTACCTCAGCAATGTAATGTTTTGTAATTTTTTTGCTAGGAAATACATTTTAATCTCAATGCTGCTTCCTGTTCTTCCTCTCCAATGCTCTGTGCTGGCAGAACCAAGTAACTTGTTACAAGTGTCTACACCGATCTGAATAGCAGACAAAGGGGATGTGTTTGACCAAGTCTATTACTGACTTTATGGTGCCAAACCTGGTGTCTATAGGACCTCCTAGTCACTTTTAGGATATATTTAAACCTGGGACTGTACCTATACTAGACTTAGCTACAGGAGGCAGCCTCATTGAAAGCAATATGAAGGCTACTGGATCCTATAGCTAATCAGTCACCCACAGTTAATCTCTCATGTAGACATCGGCTCTGGCCACAGGCCAATCACTGCATAAGAGATTACATGGAAGTGGCCACAATTTGCTACAAGAGCTGGCAGCCTCTCATTGCTTTCAATGGGGCCGATTCCCACAGCTAATCACAGGAACCCCCATTGGCATTCTTGCATCTAAGCGCAGTACATGTGTATTCAGAAAGGTAAGAAGGCACCCTTCAGCTCCCTAGCCACTGCTATTAAAAGAAAACCCATGTTCGTACAATATTTGGCTCAAAACCCATCGGCAGGCACCAAAATAAATATGCAAGCAGCTAGAACCAGCCATGGTTTTAACAATATCAAATAGAAGTTAGTAATTACAGCATAGAGGTCCCACTTCAGCTTCTAGTCCATACTTCTGTATGTACCACTAGCAGTCAGACCCCTCTGCAGCTTTAGGCATTATGAATAAACTCATTGTCAAAGTTCAGTGGGACTGAACGTTTAACTACCTTCCTATTCTACTTTAATTTTGGCAGCCTACTATCCCCAATGTAAACAGCAGGTATTTCCAAATTGTTAGAGGCATTGTTGTGATAGCTAAGAATGAATTACTTCACATTACAAGCAGCTAGAGAGGTCGGTGAAGTTGTTTTAAAACTCTTGAAGTAGCCCTTCACTATAAAGTATAAGTCACTGTGCCCTGCTTCCTCTCTCCTCTGTTAAAAGAAAAAAAATGTTCAAGTGTAACTGGAGACACTTATTTCTACTGCAAAGCAGTACTTTCTAATTGTTTGCATAGGCAGGCATTATGTTTTTTTCTCTGAACCCCCATCCCGTTTTGCTACAGTGTTTCATGTCCTGTATGAGCACTGCAGTACATCCGCACATGCATGAGTTTCCCCTGACCATTTGGCACATCTATGGGTTTCCAGCAAAGACAGCTATTAAGTAGGGAAGTCCCAAAAGTTTAGCAAATCTGCACATGGCCAGGTAGTTTCCTGTGCATGCAAAAAAAAACAAACGAAAAAGGGCTCTACCAGGACTAAAAGACCACACCTTTGGCACAGATGTGTACTTAATATAATGGCAGCATTAAGGGGTGGAATTGTCTGAGCCATATAGGGCAGGACTGACTGTTTGCTTTAAAGAATCTGTAAATGTCTATAATCTGAGGAGAGATACACAGCAAACACAATCCATGGAGAGCAGCTTTCTGCATTACTCAAAGCAACCAGTCAGCATCTTCCTTATATTTCCCCACCTACTCCAGGATGTCAAACAAAAAGTCTGATTGATTGCTTTGGGTCTTTTTCATAGTCCAATCCTTAGAGCAGACTTTTCAAAATCCTCTTAGAAATAATTTTCATATACAGTCCTTTAAGAAAAAAAAAAACACTAACTTCCCCTTTCATATCAGCTTCCAAGTACAAACATGGCCGGAAATAATGGATTTCAGACAACCACCCAAACTTGCACAAAAGGCGTGCAATAATAAATAGCACCTGTGTAAACTGAAATAGGTTTACGTTTAAAAAAAAAAAAAAAAAAAAGTATATAATAATGAAATCTTCTAAAGGGGTAGAGATACTTGTGGTAAAAAAAGTTACTTGAGGTCCTCTTCCTATAAAAATACTTTTTGGCTTCTGTTTTACAGTCCACAGCTGAAAATCTCTTAAATAAACCTTGGGTCAGGTGGCGGTGGTCTATTTCATGAGCACATTCTGGCAGACGGATCACGGAGGCTCATGAGTCAGACTGCCTTTAACAAATACTTTAGGAAAAAAAAAACCCTACAAATTATACTGAAATGGCAGCTTGGTTCCCTCAAGAAAATGATCTGTGGAAATGGATCCCTGATTCACAGATTCCATCCAGGCAGCAGTCTGCAGGTCAATGTCTGTGTTAATGTTATAATTCCGTTTTTGTTTTCAGAGAGTCCAATGGTGGGCCTAGGACACCTTCCTTGGAAGCGTCAGAGTCTGGGGCAGTTGGTGGCTCTGGTGCTTTAGCAGAGTCCACAGGGCCATCGGATGCATGCTCTGAGTTCCCACCTTCTGAAAGTATTCTTTCTGATGTTTTGGCAGATTCGTTGCTCAGGAATATATCCGTTTCTTCTGTGTTAAAAAGCATCTTTATCAAGTCATCCGCTTGAACCCTTTCCTGAAAACACCAGAGTTATTAGAGCTAGAATTATGGCCTATTAAAAAATATGCACTGTAGGCCTTAATTATAGGTGCATCTGCACTTACCATTTTCTTAGTCTCACAAATATCTGTTGATTCTGCCAGAGAAGTCCACCTTGTGTGGCTGCCCATAGATGGAAGACAATGACAACACTGCTACGGAATTCAAAAGGAGCTTGTCCCTCACATAGGCTGTGCCTGCTTGCTCTGCAGTGGGATGAGAAGAAATAGCAGGGACCATAGCCATCAGCACTGTCACTGCTGATTCATTAGCCTGTAGCTGGCAACACCTAACCCTGCCCATTGCTTTTTGAAATGGCAATTGAACTGTTGAAACCTTCCAACTGTAAAAACGGCAGTGTTTGGGAGGTGCAGGCACAAATGTAGGAGGATTTGGCTGACTCAAGGGAGGTAAAACAGGAATTTTGTAAAATTCTGCTGTAAAACCCTTTTCTTGAAGTCCGATAAATTCTTTCACACTCAGGTTATACTGTCACCTACAGGAATGGACACTGGCAAGCAAACAAAATTGTAAGCAAGCCCAGGAAAAACCCCTCCTATAACCCACAGTTTTGTAACAAAGCATTAGCAAGAGCATGATCAAAAACAGAAAAGAAAAAAAATTTTCTAGTAGTGTGCACCGTTTAAGCATAGAGTTCCAGCCTTTTCTTTAAGTGTTACTAAACCCACAACAGTACAATCAGTCTGTATATGCAGTAATGCATGCTTGTTATACTCACTGTGGAACCTAAGGGGTTAATCCACTGCATTGTGTAAATATGCTGTTTGATCCTGTCTACTCTGATCTTCCCCTTCTTCCATCATTACCCTCTTATCTCCTGATAAGACATTGTGTGGCGTCATTCTGCACATGCTCAGTTTGGTTTGTAATGCTAGAGGTGCTTTTTTTTTGGGAGAGTGCATGTGATCAGCACAGGGCCAATCAGCACTGTCCAGACAGGTCAGGGGTTATGCATCCTTCTAGAGAAGAAAGAAAACTCCTACAAGCTTTAGCATGTGCTCTGCTGGACACTGATAAGTCACAAAGACTACTATAAACTGCTAAATACCTTTTCTCATCAGCTGTTAGATTTACTAAAATAATGCATTTCCATGTTTTGTGTACTGAGGGAGACCAGATATAGTGAATGCAGGGCCCTAGGTTTAGCAACACGTTAATACCACAAGACTAGATCGTTCAAGGGAACTAGTCTTCCTAAAGGAAGCAGGTTTAGAGAAACTCTCACAGTCTGAGCCACATCCAGACAATGGAGGGAAATTTCCTTTTACTGAATTGAAGCCAGACCCAAAAGGAAAAAAGGAGAACGATGCCCCGTCTGGAGGTAAAAAAGGTCCATAGCTGGCATCTTCGATCTGTGACAGGTCCTCATACACTTGCAGATACAGGAACCACTGTTCTGGGTCTAGGTAATGTCAGCTGAAAAAAAAAAGTCCACTTGCCAATTGTCTACGCCTGGGATGCACTCAGTTTACAAGGGGGGATGTTACCTCCCTTGCTGCAGCGAGACGTTTGGTTCCTCCGATGGTTGATGTACACCATTCCTCCCTGATGGTTGATGTACACCACCAGCTTGGTGTTGGCGGACTGATAGATTAGATGATCTTTCAGCAGGATGGTCCAACACTGCAAAGACAGCCAAACTGCCCTAAGTTCCAGGATGTTGATTGAGAGACAAGATGCCCATGACAACCAAGTCCCATACACTGACAGGGTGCATAGGACTCTTCAGCCCAGCAGGCTAAAGACAGGAAGAAATCACTTCAAATTCCATAGCATGATTCCTGGGCTGCCGGGCTGTCTGTGATGGGACAAGTCAGGCCCATTTGCTTAATTTCTCTCCAATCCACTTAAAAAGGAGGCTGCCATCAGGCACAAGACTGATGCGAAAGCAGAGTCTCAGATGACTGGACTGAAAATCTCAACTCTTAAGTTCGGAGAGTCTGAAGTTTCACCTGTGGAAAAACACAGATACTCCAAATGAGTCTGCTCCAGCATAACTGGCTGAAGGTTCAAAATCCACCTGAACTGTTGCAACATCTGGACAGATAAACAACCTCTTGTCAAAGGAATGGTCTAAGGATGCCACAAGAGTAGGAGAACGTTGGGGCAAGGATCTTGGAGAATACTCAAGGGGCAGATGACAGGCCACAAGCTGGTGTTGAAGCCCTTCAACAATGCGAATGAGCCAAGGACAACTCACTGGCCACTTTATTACTTACACCTGCTCAATTGCTTGGCAACACAAATTGCTAAACCGCCAATCACATTGCAGCAAGTCAATGCATTTAGACATCTTGACGTGGTGAAGACGGCTTGCTAATGTTCAAACTGAGCATCGGAATGGGGAAGAAAAGGGATTTAAGTGACTTGTAACGTGGCATGGTTGTTGGTGCCTGACGGGAGTATTTCAAAAACTGATGAACTACTGGGATGTTCACACACAGAATGGTCTGTAAAAGAAAAAATATCCAGTGAGCCACAGTTGTGTGGACGAAAATGCCTTGTTGCCAGAGGAGAATGGGCAGAATTGTTTGAGATGATAGAATACCAACAGTAACTCAAATAACCACTCCTTACAACCAAGGCATGCAGAATACCATTTCTAAAACGCACAACACGTCAAACCTTGAAGCAGATGGGCTACAGCAGCAGAAGACCACATTGGGTGCCACCCCTATCAGCGAACTACAGGAAACATACAGGCTTACCAAAATTGGACACTAGAAGATTGATAAAACTTTGCCTGATCTGACGAGTCTCGTTTTCCCTAGAGATTGTTGTGCTTGAAAATGCCAGTAGATCAGCAGTTTTTTTTTTTTTAAAATACTCTGTGCCAGATGGGTTTGTCTAACATGCCGCGTTCAAAGCGCCTTAAATCCCCTCTCTTCTCCATTTGAAGTTCAGCAAGTTGTCTTCATGTCTAGATGCCTAAATACATTGAGTTGCCATATGATTGGCCGATTAGCAATGTGTGTTATCAAAAAATTGAACAGGTGTACCTAACAAACTCACAGGAGTGACAGTGTTCGCCTTGCTGAAGGTAGACTGTACCAGACCTGAAAGATTTTGTGATGACATTCAGAGCTTTGAGATCCAAGATGGGGCAGATGACCCATTTTGGTTGGTAACCGTAAAGAGGTTGGAGTAAAATCTTTGAAACCGTTTGGCCACAGGAACTGGGGAAATGACACCTTGGTTCAAAAGACCCAACATTGCTCAATGAAGATCTGCTAATCTGTCTGGTGAGGTATAAGGTTGAAAGTGAGAAACTGAGGCAGGGTAGGGATGAAACTTCACACAGAGGAAAGCTTGTTTAAGAATTTGGCAGACTGAGCCAAAGGGCTCCAAGGAAGTTTCATAACACATACAGAGGAAGAAGACTTTAAAAATTCTTAGGTTTCTTCCCCTGAGAAAGATGGGTGCTCTTGCCATTAGACGCTTCCTTGATAATGGTATCAAGAGCAGAGCTCAAGATATTGTCCCACGAAGGCTAGATCAAACACTTCTTGTCCAGCACTTTAGCCAAATGCTAACATGTGTACTGACAGGAGAGCTATGGAGGACATGAGGTCTTCTGAAAACTTCCAGGCTTAACTATAGTTTAAAGCTACAGCCATTTGTGTCATGCGTTCAACAATCAAGGGATCAGCCGCTGTAGTGGCAAGATCTCTTAAGGGATTTTGACCAGTGAGCCATGGTTTGGCACAGTGATGTCACAACAAACATGGGGTGAAGAACAAGTACCAAGTTCTGGAGAGGACTTCAAATTGCTTATTATATGGATCCTTAAAAGACAGCAGCATCCTTCATGGTATCATGTTTGCTTAGTTTACACTGGACAATGCTAAATCCACAATGGGGGTGGCCCACTTTTGTAAAAAATCATTCATAAAGGCTAATAAACCTTTAAGTGGATCCAACAGCTTGTCAGGAATTTTCCAATCTCTAATGCAAAGACTTTCCCATTGCACTTGCGGTTCTCTCGTTATAAAGGACTCAAGGCTGAAATGGACCGGCAAAAGGCTAAACCTCTAATTTCAGAATGGTGCACACTGCTTCAATATGGACCAAAATGGTCTCTTAACTTAGTCAAACACTGAAGCAGCTCAAAATTATACAGTCTTTATGTGTCAGAGGCTCTGAGGAAATACCATTGGCTCTGGACCTGGAAAGCACTCTGTGGCTAACTTACTGCAACAGAATCTGGAAAGCACCGTATGCAGAACTCTGTATAGAAAAGTCACTTTCAGGCTTCCATCTTAGCAATGTTGCTATGACAACACCAATTTTAGTGAGTTGCCACTGAAAAAGTATCTGAATGTATGGCTCCCATCTGCAATATCATTTAGTGGTTCAGTATCTCAGCAATGTCAAGGCTAGCAGGGTCTAGATGAGGCACGCCAAATGCCATATGCTAAGGATGGCTACGCTGGATAGCTGCAAAGCAAGAGACAAGCTCTAGCAGTTAGGTAAAGAAGAGCCCTGACTACAGAAAAAAAAATCTTGAAGAGTAGGGAAAAAAAAAAAAAAAAAAAAAAAAGTAAGTTCATCTTCCAAATAGCGGAGCAGAAGAGAAGACATTCATCCTGCACAGAAAAATTTACATCAAATCACAGTGTGGAAACAGATTACGTTTTTCTCTGCAGGGCTACAGAACACCTCCCCTTATGGAGAAGAGAAAGGCGCTCATTAAGCAATCAAAAAAATGTAGGGCTGACAACACTGTTTAAAAAGGAAGTTAAAGGCTCACTGACTTTCTGGCAGATCAACAGATATTTCTGTGTACTTGGGATAAAACACAGAGAAATGCGTACACATTACTGTATAATTTTTTTTTTTCTTACCAGGACAAGTTTTAACCAATAACATGCAGAACTGTTAATAAAGCCTTTTATTTGTTACATGATTTCACTTACTCTTTCATTATGTCGGGGGTCCAGTGTAAACCACAATGCCACAGCACACCTCTGACCCTTAGTGACTGCCTTTACTCCGTGGGGGTTCTCCGCTCCGGAGGAGAACCCCACCATTCGCCCACACTGTGGCCTGACTTCAGCCTGTAGATAAAAGCACAGCACTGTCACGCCCAACAGAACTACAACAGATCTTTTCAACCAAGCAGCCCTTGTGCCTTTAAGAGCCATACTCACTGTGATTGTTTTGGCATCCAGCTCTGTGAAATAGAAGTTTCCGCCCTCAAAGTCTCCATTTAAATACAATATGGCACTAAAAGAAAGACAACAAATTAGGGAGTGGGCAAAGCAGCATGAGTGTGCACTTCAGTGTCTGTAAACCATTGTATGGTGCAAAATCGCAAATACCAAAATGACCGATTTTACCTGCCATTAGCAAACACAGCTTCTAAGCTTCGTTTTACCCAAAGCTTAGGCAAAGGTCACATGATCGCCTGCTATATACACAGCATTCAGGCCATTAGAAAGTTTATGGTTTTCATTAGCCAGATGTCATCTGGTAGATGTGAAGTGAGATTAAATGAGCAGCAAGACAAAACCAGAAGTATATATACACCTGTATAGAAGGCAATGTTGGGAAAATTCCTGTGCCACGCTCGTGTGCCGCTGCATTGTGTCTGACAAATCACACAAGAAAGAGCTTCAAAGGAGAAGTTTACCTTTAGCAACAAGTTACATGTTATAGCTGCATCATTTATACACAGGGATCTATAAACAAATAACTACTATAAATTAATAACCAAGTCCCATCTGCCACTGCAGCAGATGGACTTGTAGTCCTCAATGGACTATGAATGCATTGATCAGCACCCTCGTAGTCCATTGCAACTTCCTGCAGCTCGGCACCCTCGTAGTCCAATGCAACTTCCTGCAGCTCGGCACCCTCGTAGTCCAATGCAACTTCCTGCAGCTCGGCACCCTCGTAGTCCAATGCAACTTCCTGCAGCTCGGCACCCTCGTAGTCCAATGCAACTTCCTGCAGCTCGGCACCCTCGTAGTCCAATGCAACTTCCTGCAGCTCGGCACCCTCGTAGTCCATTGCAACTTCCTGCAGCTCAGCACCCTCGTAGTCCATTGCAACTTCCTGCAGCTCAGCAACCTCGTAGTCCTATGAATCTTCCTGCAGCTCAGCTGATCAGCACCCTTGTAGTCCATTCCAACTTCCTGCAGCTCAGCTGCTCAGCACCCTCGTAGTCCATTGCAACTTCCTGCAGCTCAGCACCCTCGTAGTCCATTGCAACTTCCTGCAGCTCAGCACCCTCGTAGTCCATTGCAACTTCCTGCAGCTCAGCACCCTCGTAGTCCATTGCAACTTCCTGCAGCTCAGCACCCTCGTAGTCCATTGCAACTTCCTGCAGCTCAGCACCCTCGTAGTCCATTGCAACTTCCTGCAGCTCAGCACCCTCGTAGTCCATTGCAACTTCCTGCAGCTCAGCAACCTCGTAGTCCAATGCAACTTCCTGCAGCTTAGCTGATCAGCACCCTCATAGTCCATTGCAACTTCCTGCAGCTCAGCTGATCAGCACCCTCATAGTCCATTGCAACTTCCTGCAGCTCAGCTGATCAGCACCCTCATAGTCCATTGCAACTTCCTGCAGCTCAGGACCCTCGTAGTCCACTGCAACTTCCGGCAGCTCAGCTGATCAGCACCCTCGTAGTCCAATGCAACTTCCTGCAGCTCAGCTGATCAGCACCCTCGTAGTCCACTGCAACTTCCTGTAGCTCAGCACCCTCGTAGTCCAATGCAACTTCCTGCAGCTCAGCTGATCAGCACCCTCGTAGTCCACTGCAACGTCCTGTAGCTCAGCACCCTCGTAGTCCAATGCAACTTCATGCAGCTTAGCTGATCAGCACTCTCATAGTCCATTGCAACTTCCTGCAGCTCAGCAACTGTCTGCTCATACAGAGGTACAGGTAGAGAGCTGTACAGTGTATGCAGAAGCCTGACACCTGACTCCACACCCAGTGTTCTGCTGGCTCCTGACGGAAAAAAAAAATGCACTTTTCTACTTGGGGAAAAAAAAAAAAAATACAAGGTGAAAGGAGTCCTGGCACCTCAAAAAAACTTGCAGACAATCTTGCCCTCCACCCCATGTCATGCATGGGGAAACACTGCCCAGCTAGCCACAGGAACAACACTTTTAATAAATACACTGAAGTTCATATGCAACCAGTTGATCTTTCATATATTTCTTAAAAATACAGTACCACTTCAAAGTGCACCAGGAGGCCTGTCTGTGTGGTTCACACCACTCTTGGAGCCTGTCTGCGTGGACCGACTCTTGAGCAGGATTTTTCAAAGTTAAAGTGGTTGTGAACCGCAGACATCAAATATGACAAAGCATATCCCTCATGTACATGTCACAAACCAAAGCACTAAGTGTCATTTCTCTCTGCTGCCTCGTTCCTCTGATATCAGCATGAATTACTTTTGACAATCTTTCCTGCAACCAAGAAATAAAGGAGACGGGGAGTGAACTCTAGCACACGCCTTTAATGGTTTTTCAGCATTTTGGAATATAGTTAGGTGTCTGCGGCCACGGTTTTTGTTTTTTGGGGGTGGGGAGGTTGCACAAGAGGATCATCTCTGTACTATTAACTCTATTACACAGCCTGTGATTGACAGCCTCAGCTCTGATCGTGTGTGCTGTGTAAAGGGGGTTGTGCCCGCTTCCCTAGAATCTGAGCTCTGCCATGTGTAATTTCAGCTCTCCATCCTATGTTCTCTGAGAGCTCAGAAAAGCTTTATAAATTATGGCCTTTGAACAGATGTAGAGAAGAGAAGACTGCAGATTAACAGGAAGGATATCGCTTTGCATCCAAAAAAACTAAAGTTTGGAGATAGCCTTAACAGAGCACATTACTGCAGCTAAATCGGAAATATTTCCTGTGCAGATTGCAGGTCTCATCAGGTTGCCTTTGGCTTGGGGCAGTACATCAGCTAGAATTTTCCTGTCTATGCATTGCCCAGAGATTCCAATGTATTCAATTCATGACCGTTATTAACAGAACTAGAATCTCAGACAGGTAGCAGCTTGACTGGGACACGGGAAAAGTAGTCTGCGCCCATACAAATGTTTAACACACGCATACCAGGGCATAAGTCTGGGGGTCGTAAATGTCCCTACAGCAAGGAGATCACAGGGCCCAAAACTGCTACATCCCAAGCCGTGTGATCACATTACACTCCACACAGAAAAAGGGCTTTCATAATTCAGTATCACTTCCAGGGTATGAGAACAGTCTGTTACAAACCCTTTAACCCGTTCACTGCCAAAGCCATTTGGCACACAAAAATCATTTTAGGCCTGAAAATGACACAAAACCCCCAAACATTATATATTCTCTGAAAACAGCCTAAAGAATAAAATAGTGGTATTTTCAATTTATTTTCGTCACATGACATTACCGCAAAAGGTCTAGGGGGAAAAAAAAAAAAAAAACTTTTTTCTTCCAGTAAAAAAAAAAAAAAAAATACAAAACAGAACTAGTGGGTTTCTAGAGGAGTTTTTTTTTTTTAAGCTGTAAAACCACTAATGTGTAAAAAATGCAGCAAAAAACAGGAGTTTTGGGGAATTATTTGCAGCAAAAATTATTTTTGTGTGTGTAAAAAAATGCTAAAACCCGCAAACTCAAACTGCAAAAACCTTATGTTTCTAATGCGACTGTACAGCCAGCGTTATTAAAATGCCCAGTGTGCATGGAGCTTAATTCAGCAGCAATGTTTTGGGTGAAACAAAGAAGAACTGAAAGTCCTTTATGGTGATCACTATGGATTTAAAGGTGAAAAGCTGTACAACTGCCTGGAGGAGTGAAGCGGGAGGCATGATATTCCTATACATTGTGAGATTTCATGATCTTTTCCCCTTTTCAACCATACGTATTGCTTGGAATAAGATCAAAAACTTTGTGGGTTTTTTCTCTATTTCTGTGCTGTGCATAGACAATGCCATGGAATATTCTGTGCAAGTATGAGAAATGAAGCTCTCCATATTCTAGAGGAAACATGCTGTTTGGGAATTTGATTTCAAGCTCTGTGCAGAAATTTGTGAAGGGCTGTGAATGCCGGTATGATTCATTTGAGAAAAGATGCCTACAAACTACTACTGGCATGACAGCAAAGAGGTGAATTGTTATGGCAGCTCCAAAACCCACAGCTACCTGCTGAATAAAATGGAAAGGTAGACCAAGCCAGAGTACTAGGTGTCATTCTAGACTCCAATCTGTCTTTCTAGCCCCAGGTCCAATCGCCGACAAATTCATGTAGACTCCACCTCCACAACCAAAATACGTTCGTTCCTAACCCCAGAAACTACAAAGCAACTCATTCACTCCCTTTTTATATCACGACTTGACTACTGTAACTCCCTCCTACCCTGTAACTCACCGGCCTACCTCATTACAGGGTAACCCCAACTTTAGTCTATCCTGAATTCTGCGGCCAGACTCATCCACCTTACTGACCGCTCCGTATTCGCCACCCCCCCTCTGCCAATCCCTCCACTGGCTTCCCATTGCCCAACGCATAAAATTCAAATTAATATTGACGTACAGAGCTGTTCATAACACTGCCCCAAACTACATCACCGACCTGATATGCATTTACCACCCAAAACGTACTCTCCGCTCCTCACAAGACCTCCTACTCTCTAGTTCCCTGGTCTCCTCCTCCCATGCCAGTCTCCAGGGGTTCCCCCATCCTCTGGAACTCATTACCCCAATCAGACTGCCACCTACCCTCCTCACCTTTAGGCGCACCCTGAAAACCCATCTCTTCAGGGAAGCCTACCCCACCCTCACCTAATTGCCGATCTCCTCCACTCTTCCTACCATTCCATCCCCCACAGCCATTTCCTCCTGTACCACTATCCCCTCCCTCCTAGATTGTAAGCTCCAAGGAGCAGGGCCCTCGAACCCCTCATGTATTGTATTGTTACTGTGCTGTCTCGTGTACGGTCTCCCATTATAATGTACAGCGCTGAGCAAACTGTTGGCGCTATATAAATACCGTATAATAATAATAATAATAGACCAGAAGGAGTGACAGACAAGTACCAATAAACTCAAATTAAACCCAGTGGAAGAGGGGGAATGATAGAACTACCTGTAATCTCGGAAGGTATATGCTGGGTGCTCCTTTGTACACATCAATGCTTCAGCATTTAAAATACAGTTATCAACATGGACAGGATGGCTGAGGTCTATTCTGTCTGCTTGTTTCTCTGCAAAATAAGAAATTCATCTGTTCAAGTCCAAGAAAATTACCTACAGTTGCTAGAAGAATTTTTTTTTTTTTTAAATGCAAAACAGGTCTATACCTCATCTTTGAGAAAGGAGATTTCATTGTACATACTATTATTGCAACATTTACTTGAAACTGAACTCCAGCCAGGTGCAAGAAGAAAAAAAAAACATTAAATTGCAGCTTTGTAGTCATTAAAACATAATGAAATGTATTTTTAATGTAAGGGCAAGTACCTGAATTCAACTTTGTTTCATTCTGGGAGAGAAGCAGAACAAGAAGCATGCCGACAGGAGGATAAATCCTCACCTCACTGTGCTGCTTCTCCTTACACCAGGGGTAGGCAATCTTAAAGAGGTGGAGATCTACATGAGCATGGGAGAAGTCAAAGATCACCGGGCCCAGTGTCGCCTCCTCCCACCTGATTTAAACCACTAATTACTGTACTATCATGTTGCAGTTGTGCGGAAATCATGAGTTTAAATCAGGTGGTGCGGAGGCAACATATCGCCTCTTCACCACCACTCAATCACACTTGAATCACTTTTCAGAGGAGCAGCAGTGCCTGCAATACTTGTGAATGAGCCCTTAGTTTCATTCAGCAGTGGCACCATTAGGGCTCATTCACACAAAGTTGTGGGGGGGGGGGGGGGGGGGGGGGTATGGTAAAACCCTGAGGTTGAGTTGTGGTTTTACCACCCCTAATGCCTACCCCCCTTTAGCTGCTGAGGCAGCAGCCAAAAGGTGTATACATGCTGCAGCAGGAATTAATCCCCGTTGCTTTTTTGTGGGTGCTACCACCTGCCAAACACATCCCATTAATTAATGGTGCCACTCTGCAAGCACCCTGCAAAAATGTGTGCTTCTTCGGGGTCCAAGGGGTTAAAGCAGGTGGTGAGAAAGCAACAACGCTGCCTGCTTTAACCCCCTGTTTGCTGTACCGCACAAGGCACTTGCAGAGCAGCCTCATTCACTTAAATGGGTCCTGCTTGGCAGGTGCTGCACCCACAAACTATGACAGGGCATACAATTTCTGCAGTGGCATGTGTACACCCCTGGCCACTGCAGCCAAAGGGGGTTGGGGGGGGGGGGGGGGGGGGGGTAGTGGTAAAACCACCCCACAAACTGCAAGTGAACCCTTACTGTCCTGATCCCCCTGTAAGGCTGCTTTCACACCATTGTGCTACAGTTTACTTGCACCGCAGTGCATCTGCGACTTTCCAGGATTAGCTGCGCTTTTCCATTGACTTCTATTATATCAAGCAGGTGTGGTGCACTTTCTGAAACTTCTGGAGTTTAGATGCGCTGTCAGAAAGTGCACCAGACCCGCAGGATATATAATAGACGTATACGGCCAAGCACAGCAAACAGCAGGTACACTGCACTGCACCCACCGTGTGTCTAAACCGCAGCACACCAGTGTGAAAGCAGCCCTATACTATTATGCCCAGTGTATTGCTTCCCACTGACCTGAAGATCTGTTCTTTCCTGCTGCTGGCATCACTCTGGAGACCTCTAACCAGGATAAGAGGTGGAGTGCAGTTGGTGTCACTCCGCATGGGACAGGAGCCAGCAATACAGAGGAGGCATCGGCTTATGCGGCTCTTGCTCCCTACTACAGATTTAACTTTACAAGCAGTCTCTCTGCATTGCACTCTGATGCTCTGGAATGGTGGCTCAACAAACCCAGAACGTGATCTACCAGTCACCTGGACACAATCTACTGGTTGCTGACCCCCACCTTACGCAATTCAGTCGCAGCCATGACAGCCTGGGGCTCCATGATGCTGGATGTCATTCAACATAAGTCTCCATTCACACTTCTGTGATTTTATTTAAAAATTGGGCAATATGTGACAATTACAGCAAGAAGATTACATTTTCTAAGGAGCCTGTTCAAACCTGTACTTTTTTCTCTTGCAAGCATCTTTGGAAAAAAATGACAGGTGCTTTTTTTCTGCACAGCAATGCATGTATAAGGCTTCATTGACTTCAGTAGCAGCACATGAATATACTACTGTACAAGTACAAACCTAGCCTGAAATGCTGAGGACATCCAATAGCAGAAAAGAAGTGCTACAGCAGACCGCTTTGGAGTGAAGATAAACATTACACCTAAAGGCATCTTTTTTATTTGAAGTATGTTGAAAGTATTATTTATAGTTCTTATGCAAAATTTATGCATGACAAATCTGTGGATAAAAAGACACAGACAACATTCCCTCCTAAAGACCTAAATAAAGCACAATTGCTGTACAGCAGTGCAAAGAAAAGAAGCTCAGCATGCCTATGTAAGAAGCACAGGTGATGAGATGTATTGATCCTCACTGACTGTACCTTCAATGGCTGTCCGGCACACTAGATGAGAATAGGAGAAGTACAGAGGGTTTTCCAGGCGGAAGTAAGACTCCACCACTCGTCTCACTTTGTCCGTGACGTTATAGTAAAGGTGCGCACTTCTTAATGGCACTTTCCCTTCTTGCCCCAGCTGAAAACAAAAAAGACAGAATTACTACATCTTGCGAAGGCTTTACAAAGACAAGAATTACAACCCAATATTTAGACTAGAATAGGTGGTTTAATGTGGAATGAGCTGATAAAGTGAAGATTTGGTATTTTTGAGGCAATGGCTAGAAATGATAAATAGTACCCATATAGTACACTGAAAATTCTGTCTTGAAAAACTGGTGTACTTCCCGTCATGCGACTATGCCTAGACACTCCTGTTCTGTAACCTCAGCTTTACATCTGCAGTGTGAATTCTAGGCCACTACTGCCTCTAATGGCTAGTGTCAGTGGATCTGTAGTGAAATTTGTTGGATGTTGCTACTTTTCTGCTTCCTCTTCTCCTTTCTGGATTGAAAGCTGTAACTGGGGACCTGTAGTGCAAGGATCACCTTGCTTTTTTTTTTTTTAAAGGAAGGAGGGGGGCAGGGATCACAGTTTACACAGTATATGTCCCCTTTAATATCTTAAAGTGGTTGCAAACTTCAGACAAAATATGAACAAAGAATATCCCTCTAGAGTTTGACTTGTCTCAGTCCTGAGCACTAAGTGTCATTTCTGTATGCTGCCTCATTCCTCTGCTATCAGCATGAATTGGTTCTGACAAGTTTTCCTAACACTAAGAGAAAAATTGTGATGGGGAGGGAGCTCCAGTGCACAACCTATGATTGACAGCCTCAGCTCTGTGTGAAGGGGGGTCCCTTCCTGCCAATCAGCTCTCAGAGCTCTTCTCAATGAGCTTTACAGAGTGTAACTTCAGCTCCCCCGCCCCCTGGTTTCTGCAAGATCAAACAAGCTTTCCAAAACTGAAATTTGGATGGATGAAGAGAATACTGCAGGTAAACCGGTACAACTTATGTAGGATTGGTTTCATCTCTGTGCATCACCAGAGGCCGGTCACTTCACTAAGTATGTCTGGGGTTGGCACTCTGCCATAGACAGTAACAGAAAGGCGATCTGCTTGTGGTTTAGAAGACAAGCAACCTTTCCATTCCATTCTACAGAGAGCTGCGTAGGTGTAGAACGCTAGTCAGCCTGCTTACAGAAGAAATTCAACTCTGTTTAGCAACTGGCAGAAGGGGTTGTACTAGTCAGTAATAGGTCTTGAGGCACATGTAGTGGAGATCCTGTTAGCATCAATTTTGGAAAACTTTTGTTATGTGTAAAAAGGACAAGCACTGCCAAAAAAATATTGCATGATCATAATAACTAAGCTGTGAATGTGTACGGCAATAGTATTCAGTATTTCCATTGGCTTTAGTTTTTCCCTTTATGTACACATACGCTAAAAGATTCAGTAACAGTGACTGAAGTTGGAACAACCTATAACTTTGCCGGGGGTGCTCAATAATTTCCAGCAACTTTTTTTTTCTTTTTAACCATTTAAAACAAATGCACAAAAAGATGACCATTGTAACCGCCCCTATAATTGTCAGGCAGAGATGCCGCAATTAGACATCAGGTGACATCTGACCTTTAGCTCAAAGGGCCCAAAAGTCATTCTTCCTCAGAGCAAGTTATGCCAAGAATGCACCAAGTTCAGCCTAGGCACAGCAACTACACAGCTGATAACCAATCCAAAGGATATTGTACAATCAGATTGCATAGTCGGCCTTAGAAAGTTTTAGACCACCCTGGTTCAATTTAAGAACACCATGCACTGAGGTGTTACCTGCAGTGACCAATCAGATTTATATTTAAACCCTGCTACAGCCATTATAAGCAACCCCTTCCATTTGTCTTGCAGTGTTTCCTATACGGCTCATAACTACCGCAGTGCAGTTTGTGGATTGCGTTTATGAAAAGGAAGAACTTCTAGATTTAAAGGAGAAGCTCACCCCTCTTACCATGTTATACCCGTATTCAGGATGTAACGTGTCACTAACTCAGCAGCCCCCGCATTACCCAATTCCCAATTGTGATAGCGGGTATGGGAACTTCTCCTCGCACCTGCTTTCACAATTTCAAAAAGGGCACAGTCGTGCAGGCCTCTGCCCGCCCACCCGTCCATGTCATTCAGTCAGAGCTCTGTGAATGTTTGAACTACAACTACCATCAGCCATTGCGGCTAACAGCTTATAACTACAAGGGTATTGGTGAGCGCTTTAGCAGTTCATTGATCTTCCCTGTCTGTATGGGAGGTAGGGGCTGACAGTTGAACTGAGAGTCTGCAGGAGCCTGAAATTGCTCCCGTGATATACTGACCATGACCGCAATGCTTTGCTAGCTGTTAAAAAAAAAAGTTTTTTTTTTTTACCTGAGGAAAAACACAAAAAAAGTGCATTTATTATTTTATTTTAAAAATAGCTTTATTAGGAGTGTTTTCGTTTTAAAAAAGGTGAATTTCACCTATAATCACTCACTTTTAGAGCTTTATACACGGTTACCCCATAGCCACTAAACTTCTCATTAGGAGTGTGTCGTGGGGAGGTCGTACCTCGATAGCCATCACCTGCGGACCCAAGTGCAGCCTAGGGAAACAAGAACAAAATAAGATTAAAGCTGGAATATAATGTAAAGATGATAAATAGAAATAAAATAGGAGCAGGAGCTTATATTGACAAGTTAGGGACCGCGATGTGATCTGCCAAGTGATAAATGCGGCAAAAAAATGAGGACAAGTAGATTGTCATGAGGGACCAGTAGATTGGGACCCCGATTTAGTCCCTTGGAGTTAGTTTTTTTTTTTTTTTTTTTTTTTTTCCCCTTTTTAATTTCCACGCCCTTGGATTAAGCAGTCAAAGACAGTTCTCTGTCCCCACAGAGTAGCTGGTGGAACAAGCTCCCAATCATATGACCACTGACAGTCACTCACAATGGTCACATGATTACCAATTCTTCCTGTCCCCCCAGCCATTCAGAACTTTCCAAAGAGATGCCAAGGCAGGCGGGAAGGGGTTAAAGAGCAAGTCATATTAAATAGAATGCTGTCCTTCAGTAAAAATATGTAGCATTTTGCTTCCCCGGCTTACAATTTCAAATTCGTAAGCAACAAATCTGTGCATTTCAAATGGATATAATACAAATGCAAGGGCAGAGGTTACTTTATCTTCAGGGATTTAAAAAAAAATAAAATTAAAGTACAGGCATAGTTTTTTTTTTTTAATGCAAATCTCAATTTTATCAAAAAGCCAAGCTTGGTACTGCTGCCTTTTGCCCTCCCATTGGTCCATAAACATCATGGATACCCTCACTGACCTTTAGGGAGGCTTGACTTTTATAAGGAAAGTCAATATTCATATATGTGTATACACATTCATCTCTGGATTCACTCATTTTGGCATGCAGTTTTTACTCAAGATCTCTGCATTGTTTATTTCATGGCCCATCCCTTCCAGGATTAGGCCAGTCATGACTTGTCCATTCAGCCTGCTGACCACCCAAAATACTTCCAGAACATGAGGAATGGAAATTGAGAAGATTTAGATCTAAACATTAATACGATCAAAAGTCATGGGTAAAAGCTACCAATTAGTGAAAATCAAAAGTACAATTATAAACAGGTGGAGGAGAAAACTAGACGTCACAGAGGCTGAAAATGGTTTGGGAGTTTCAGACCATGCAGCAGTCTTCAAATGAGCATTCACACAACATGTCACCATCACCCTGCAGGGAGCTGTGCTTACATTGGTGAGCCGCAAAAGATCCCGACATTGATCTTCAGAGATGACCCCATCAGTCACCACCCTCTGAGATCCGTTCAGAGTCTGCGAATTCATCACAACGCTGACCTCATCAAACAGAACTGGACCACCTGTGGAAGGAGCCCTGAGGTTACACATTCTTCAAACAGAAATTCAGTTCAGCTCAGTTAAAAATTAGGAGCCTCACAAATGGCTGATCATTGATGCACCGAGGGGGGGGGGGGGGGCATTTTAATCAGGTTGTTTCTCCTCTGAGCTTAGTCAGCTAAATACATTCCAGATGCAAAAAAACAAAAAGGTGTTTCTAAAGTCTTACAATTGGTTTCTTTAGAAAGTAGCCACAGCCTTAGTAGAAAAGCCTGTCACCTGCCAGCATGCTCCAGCTGAGGAAGGACCTTTGTTTGGTGTAAAAACAGTGGCTTCTCTGCAGAGTTCCAATATGCTGAATGATGACAGACCTAAAGCTCTGCAATCAGCAAGCTTCTGTTAGCAGCTAATTTGAGGAGCTCGAACTCATCCATATTGTGTTTGGATTTAAAGCCCATAGTACTGTGCTAGAGACGGGGTAGGAGGGAACAAAAAAGCAGTGCAATGATCATGTACAAAAATCCAGAGCAACCAATCAGACCAGCATCAGAAGTGAGAGCTATGAAATATCGCAGATTGGTTTCTATGTAATCTCTTTCCTTGGCACACGGCAGCTTACCTTATTAAATACAAAGGTATACTAAGAGTAGTGAGGTTAGGGGAATCTCACCTTCTCTGACACCACGGTAATGATCCATGGATTCTTTGGTTTTTTCCTCCACCAGATTTTCAATCTCTTTCATAAGGTTTCCAATTTCCTCTGATATTCTGGCCGCTGTCTCGCGCTCCACCCTGGAAAAAAAAAAAAAAAAAAAAAAAAAAAACCCAAAAAAAACAAATTCAGGACACTTTACAAAGATGTGCATCAAGTGTAAAGCAAAAAGCAATATTACAATACTAAAGCAGACCTCTGGTGTTTCCACTAACTCCTGCCTGCATCTCCCCCCCCCCCCCCCCCCCCATGTATACCTTTTTTCAAGGCTGTTCTGGATGATCCAGTGCCATTGCAGGTTCTGTCCTCTTCTCATCTGGTGGCAGCAAATGGGTGGTCCTTACTCTTCTGCTGAATGGTACTTACTAATGATGTATAAACACTTGCAGACCAGTGACGTACCGTGTGTTGCTGGACTTCAAGTGGTTATACTGGAGTGATGCCTGCTAATTAGCCGCTCGATTGCTTTTACAAAGAACGGGAGGGGACGTCCCCCCTTCTCACTGCCTTCCGCCTCCTTGGGTTTTCCCGTCCCACTGGGAGACCCGAGCGACCATCCGTCACATCCGCCAGCTGTCCGGACAGCCAACAATGTTGGGATCAACTTTGCCCTGCTCTCCCTTATAGTAAACCGGAAACAATGACCTCACATCACTTTTGTTTTACTCTAAAACAAATCAGCGCCAATTTTTTTTTCTTTTTAAATAAAAGCATTCAAAAACACGTATCTTGGTGTTCTGAATGCTTTCAAGTACAGAGAAGAGATTTGGGGTCTTCTAGACCCTAGATCTCTGCATAAAGAATAACTCATGTGCCTATTGCTGCCACAAGGGATGTTTACATTCCTTGTGACAGTAATAAAAAGGAATAAAAAACAAGAATTTAAAACAGTGTCAAAATAGTAAAAAAAAATTTTTAGCGAACGCATGCACAAAGCGATCACTCCAGACATGGGAGGTATCACCACAAACGTCAGATCATGGGCAGCAATTCTAACACTAGACCTCCTCTAACTCTAAAGTGGTAACCTGTAAAAGCCTTTTCAAGCGTTGCCTATGGGTAGTAAAATTTATGTTGGTTATCGCTGTTGCACGGGCGTGCACAAATTTTAAAGCAGGATGTATCTGGTATCAATTTACATGGCGTAATATCTTTTATATGTAAAAAAAAAAAAAAAAAGTTATGTATTTTTTTTGCATTAACAATTCAAAAAAAAAATTGCAAAAAACACACCATTTTATTCTCTAGGGCCTCTCGAAACTATCTTTTTACATGTAAACAAAAAAACAAAAAAAAAAAAAAAAAAAAAGTGTCAGAAAATGGCCTGAATCTCAAGTGGATAAGCACTTATCAGTACAGTAGTGGGCAACACAATGGTTCAGCGGTTGGCACTTCAGCCTAGCAGCACTAGGGTTTGAATCCTGACTATGGCACTACCTGCCTGGAGCTTGCTTGTTCTTCCTTTGCAGGTGTCTTCCGGGAAATCCGGTTTCCTCTCACACTCCATAGAAAAGCTGGCAAGTTAATTGCCTCCCCTCTAAATTGGCCCTAGTATGTGTAAGTATGAATGCGTTAGGGACCTTAGATTGTATGCTCCTTGAGGGCAGGGACTGATGTGAATATACATTATATAAGTGCTGTGTAAATTGACAGTTCTATATAAGTACCTGAAATAAATAGTACTCTGAGCCCAGGCTGCCATGATGAAGCAACCGCAGAGGAGGTAGGTCCATGACAACCTGGGCTCAGAGAACTGGATTGAATGACGTTGGCTGTCATTCAACCTGAAAGTCTGGTGACATTGAGTGCTGGAAAAGGAATTAGTACAGGGGACAGGAATTAATTAAAAGCAATTTTTTGCTGTTAAGGATTTTTTTTTTTTTTTTTTTTACTTTAACATGTCTATTTTTCCCCAAAGTTCCAATTTAAATGCATACCATGTGTGCATGTTGACTTTAGAATTGATCACAACTAAACTTACTTTTGTTTTTCTCGCAGTCTCTTGGGCATTACATATTCTGGTGTCCATATGTCCTGCAAAATGCATATGTATAATAAGATCAGTGACAAACACTGTACATAGTGTTCCAGAACCTACACAATACTTGCAGAAATGGGCCGGTGTTCTAAAAAGGGAAAGGACAGAGGATACAGGGTGGGCTTCATTTAAATGAATACAATGTCTGACGAGTCAAATGGTTTGGTTCAGTCCTGCAACTAAAACTTTTGCTGGACAGCTTGGCCAGTTAGAGTAAATAACAAAAAAAAAAAAAAAAAAAAAAAAAACTACTGTGCAAGTGTTCCTGATGGACTGCATCAAATGTAAGTTTTTTGCCCATAGATACAATTTAAGTCCTTGGCGATAAGAGTTTCTTTTTCATGAGATAGTCCAATGCAACTTTCACACAGGGTGGATTTGATTCCCGATCAGCTCATGATTGGAGCCGAACAAGCAGATGACACATCCTTGCCCGGTTTATACAGAGCAGACATGAACAGAGCCTGTTCTGCTGTATTGATGGCCAAAGTAAAACTACTGTGCTGGCCGTTTACATCCAACTGCCCTCCAATCCGATCCGCATAGACAAAGGGGGACCTGATCGGATTGGCCATGTAAAAGGGGCCTAAAAGGATGCGGACACTATCCTCTCATCACAGAAGGCTGAGCTTTCCATACAGGAAAAGAAAAGTCTAAGAACATAAATGGTGCAATGAACAGCAATTTCTTCGGATGAATGAAAAGCATTAAATCTCCCAAAAAAGTGGCAACTAAAATTATTTGCAATGTATAAAGATCGACGACTGGAAAGCATTTCCGCCCCCCCTCTCTCAACAAAAAACTTAAGCCTACCATTGACCACTGAAAATTTGGTCAGCTCAGTAGGAACTGGCCAAATTTCAATCCATCTATAGGCAGGCTGGTTGTACTGAAGTTAATCTATCAGCTTTAGCACAACCAGTTTTTTTCATATGATTACTGCGGCTGCCTATAGCTGGCAGCAGTAATCATTTAATTCTGATTGCAAGGAAACCGCCCACTGTCAAAATATAACAACGCACTGAAGAGGGATTCCCACATCAACACAATGTGTTGAGGAAATCGAGCAATTTTCTTCCCTTTAATGTATGGCTAAAGAAAAAAAAAAAAAAAAAAAAAAAAAAAAAAAAAAGGAAAAAACTACTTAAAGCAGAACTCCAGGAAATGCTTTCCCCCCCCCCAGGCAGTGGGACTGTGCCTGCACTACATAAGTAACTTGCTTGTTTTGTCTATGAGTGAACACAGAGCTTATATTCACCTGATCCTTTGGATAATGGTGCTCCCCACATCCAGCTCCCAACTGTTCTTGCTGCCCTCACGGTCAGAGCTGGTCTATAGACATGACGTCAAACAGTCCACCGCACAAGACCTACTTGACTGCAAAGGAGAAGGGGGTGCGGGTGCAGGGAGGGTGCGGTTGGGTCAGGAATGGCAGGGACGGGTAGATTAAGTACATCTCCGATTTCCTCTCCCCAAGAGGAAAAAGAGCATAGCAGACCCACTGCATGGAGAAAAAAAAAAAAAAACAAAAAAAACGAACCACACCTGGAGTTCTGCTTTAATGTATTGCTAGCTTTAGGAGTCAATTTTAAAAGGACAAGTGAAGATCCCTTCCTTCAAAGTGGTTCAAAATGAACACAAGGTGAGGAAAACAGATGTCCTGGAATTTTGGGATACAATGCCAGCTACATTTTTTTTTTGTTTTAATATGAGAAAAACAACCCACAAAAGTAAGCAGTTTAACTTACAGGGTCAACGAAGGGAATTCCAAAAGTATCATAAGCAAAAAACAGCAGCTCTTTCTCCAGCAGACTTCGTTGAATGTATTTCTTTATATCCTATAGAAAAATAAATATGAAACCCTGTACTATTTTTTTTTGTTTTTTTTAATTTAAATAGACATTCATTAAAAAAAAAAAAAAAAAAAAAAAAAAAAAAAAAAAAAAAAAAAATACAAATATGCATAAAAGCACTACATAATACATTTTAAACAGGAGACAAAACTCCCAACAATTTTTCCCAGAAATGCCAATACATTTAAAGCAAAAGCGCGAGCCACCGCAGCTTGTGAACACAGCATGAGCATTGGTAGAAGTATTAACCCCTTTCTTTGGCTTCATGACGTAATTTGCAGCATTAACACCTTCCTGGCAGGCCTATAGCAGATTGACGGCTGGGCTGGACACTCCACTCCTTGTGACTGGGCATCATATGACATCCTATCAAAAAGGAGCCACTCGTGGCCGCAGAGCGGTGCAATCTGTCACTGGCTGTATCCACGGGATACAGTCGATGACATATCACTACACTGGCCCGTTTCCAGTCTCATGTGACCAATCACAGCAGATCACATGTCAATTGTATACAATGGATGGCTTCCTGTCATGCCATCCATTATATAAATTGTGTTAGCTGTGATTGGTCAAAGCAGTCATATGGTACAGCCAGCCAATCACAGCCCATCTGTATTATGTGATGAGCTTTGCCTAATCACAGCTAATCACAACAAAAGACTGAATGAATCAGTTTCGGTAACAATGATTGCAAATATCAATAAAATACATTGGTATTAGCAATAGTGTAAAAAAAAAAAAAAAAACAACTTTCCTACAGACTAAATAATATACACTAATTTAGGGTATTTTCACCTAAAATTTATGAAGAAATGTTATTTGCAAAATTATATAACAGGAACAAAGAAATTCTTTTCGAAAAAGTTTTTTTTGTTTAATTTAGCAAAATATAAACTCAGTGGTGATTATATACCACCAAAAGAAAGCTCTATTTGTGTGAAAAAGACAAATTTTTTTTTTATGGGTAGTGTTGCATGACAACACCGAAAGCTGAAAATTGGCCTGGTATTGAAGTGGTTAAAATATGTCACTTTACAGCTCAACTCCAAAATACCATAAAAATAGGTCCTGTACTTAAATATAAGGACAGG